CCTGCCTTGGTCCTGCCCTGATAGTGCGGCCGTTGGAATCCTTCGTGATAGTGACGGTTTCTTTTATGTTTTGAGTTCGTAGGCGAGGGTTTTTGATACGGATGGCCGAGTTTTTCCTTTGCACCCGTTGTTGTATGAGTAACTTAAGTAGATCTGGAGTATCCATGCCCCACTGATGGTTTGTCAATAGCTTGACGAACCGGGGAGGGTGTTCGTGCGTCTGGANGTTGTATGAGTAACTTAAGTAGATCTGGAGTATCCATGCCCCACTGATGGTTTGTCAATAGCTTGACGAACCGGGGAGGGTGTTCGTGTGTCTGGACACGAGCATGGTAGATCTGCTAGCAGCACGGGGGGGGTACGTAGACAGGAGCATGCGTATGCCTGAAAAAGGCTACTATGTGTGGGCCCCGTTCCCCGAATTCGGGAGGGCCACTTCTTCCCTTCCTTTTCTCGCTCCCGCGGGTGCCTAATCAGAGAGAGTTAAAGCGTGTCTTCTCCTCCCAAGTCCGGACATACCAACAGGAACCAGAAGTTTCCAGAAGGCTTCCAGGAGCTACACACGTTTTACGTAGATGTCCCGGTCAACCTTGACCTAGCATGCTTCCGGAATATTTCTAGAACAAGAGAATACATGCCACGGAGAGATGGATTTGTTTCTACTGCTACGCAGACTAGTTGCTGCAATCGTATTCAAAGGTCAAACTGTGTCCGACTACTGGTGGTCTCGACGCACGATTTTCCTGACACTCGAAGAANAATTCACAATGGTCGACGGCATCACCATATCCTTGTCTACCTCGACCCCTCCGCTGGCATCGTATCGAAAAGAAATTCCTTCTGGTATGGCGGGTAATGGAAGGAAGCTTCACAGATCTTCGATCAGCACGATCTGCTGAATGATGGAGGCGAATCGGTGCTTTGGGATATACTTGGTCGCGATATCAGCCAACTGGTGCTCGCTGGGCCGGTGGTGAAGAGTGATTTGTCCCTGCCGTACTAGCTCCCGGATGAAAAAGTACCTCAGGGCCACGTGCTTCGTGCGTTGAGAGTGCATGGCATTCCTGGCCACTGTCAGCGCTCCGGTGCTGTCGCTGTTGATGGGAACCGATCCGAAGGTATTGAAGTTGAGCTCCTTCTTCTTCTGGTCCACGAGCTGCTGGTCTCTTCCTGCGATGAGAATGTCGTCTCCGTAGACCGTGAGAATCACGATGATGTTGCCGCTGGTATACACGTACACGCAGGGGCCGGATTGAGTCCTTTTCCATCCGAGCACCGTGAGGGATTCGTCCAGGGTGTCGTTCCAGAGCGCAGGCGACTGCGATAGGCCGTAGGGGCTCCGTTCTAGTTTGTACACCATGGGTTCTCCCGTCGCGGAGTTCTTGGCGGATGTACCGGGGGCGGGTCTGACGTACACATCTCTGTCGCAGAGGGCGTTCAGGAAGGCACCGACAACGTCCAGTTGGTAGATGGGCCAGTTGTTGTGGCAGCCAATGGCGCACGTCATGCGAATGCTCCCGATACGGCATACTGGTGCGTGGCTGCGACTGTAGTCCTGTCCTGANATTCGTCCAGGGTGTCGTTCCAGAGCGCAGGCGACTGCGATAGGCCGTAGGGGCTCCGTTCTAGTTTGTACACCATGGGTTCTCCCGTCGCGGAGTTCTTGGCGGATGTACCGGGGGCGGGTCTGACGTACACATCTCTGTCGCAGAGGGCGTTCAGGAAGGCACCGACAACGTCCAGTTGGTAGATGGGCCAGTTGTTGTGGCAGCCAATGGCGCACGTCATGCGAATGCTCCCGATACGGCATACTGGTGCGTAGCTGCGTCCGTAGTCCTGTCCTGGCTCTTGACGATGTCCTCCGACTACCAGGCGAGCTTTGAAGCGTCCGTCCAGCTTTTTCTTGAAGCCAAATTTCGTTCCGAGGATCTTCTCTCCCTTGGGAACGCTGCTGAGGGGCACCAGATTGTAGACGTTGTGCTTCCGCAGATTGTCCATTTCCTTGCTGCACGCTCCTTTCCATTCTTCGCGCTGGGGAGAGCTCATGGCTTCGTCATAGGTGTTGGGGATTTTGATCGCTTGATTCGTCTCCTCCAAGATCCCGTGGTGTTCGTGAGTGGTCGTGACGTAGGCGTGAGCACGCGGCACCGTGAAGGGGTCTTCCGCAACGTGGGCGAAATCCTCAGTATCGCCAGGGCATGGGAGCTGGGCTTGATCGGCTATCTCAGCCAGCTGAGTGAAGGAAAGATCGGATGGCTCCACGCGGCCGGTTGTAGCATCGGCTCGACCGCGGTCGTTCATGGTGATTTCCAGATTGGCAGGAACCAAGTTGACGTCCATATGATCGTCGCTGGTGGGCTTCCCGCGCGTGCTGGCTGTGGGGAANGACGGTCCAGCTGGCGTCGATGGGAGATGTGGTGATGGAGCGTCCCCGTCGCCGAGATCTTGCCCGTTTCCATGTTCATCCTCGTTCCCGTCCAGTTCTAGGTGAAGCTCCTCCCGCGCGAGATTGTCTTGCTGCATCTTCCGAACTTCTTGCCGAAGTGGTTTGTTCTGCGCCGTGAAGTCCAGGTCGCTCGTCGAGTGGGGGCTGTCCAGCAGGGAGGTGAAGCTCAGCACGTCGCTCTCGTACCCGTTTGCTTCAGTGAAATACTAGAAGGGCACTGAGCGGGATGGAGATTCGATGAAAGTCACATTTNAGTTCTAGGCGAAGCTCCTCCCGAGCGAGATTGTCTTGCTGCATCTTCCGAACTTCTTGCCGAAGTGGTCCGTTCTGCGCCGTGAAGTCCAGGTCGCTCGTCGAGTGGGGGCTGTCCAGCAGGGAGGTGAAGCTCAGCACGTCGCTCTCGTACCCGTTTGCTTCAGTGNATCTCTCGTGGTGTACGAAGGCGCGCGCTCCAATGACCCGAAGTCCCGAGAGATCAGGTGACTTATTGTGCAACTTCGAGTATGGCGTAGCTCCCCCCAGTGCTGAGTGTGGGGACCTGTTCAACAGGTATGCTGCAGTTAGCATTATCTGCCCCCACATGGACGGCGGAAAATCTCCATAATTCAGAAGACACCGGGTGACTCCGGCCAGGGTTTGTCCGTCCCGTTCGGATACACCGATTTGTTGACGGGTGTTGGTGGCGGCGTATTCGAGCTTGAGAGCTGAATTCTTGCAAAAGTCCCGAAATTCGGATCCGGTGGTCTCGCCTCCCTTGTCGCAGCGGATGGTCTCGATC